GGGGGGGGGGGGGAACTATACCTTCTCCAAGGAGGTCTGAGCCTCAGCCTTGGGGAGAGAGCCCCCTTCCAAGTTTATCCTTTCCTTGGTACTCTCCCTTAGCCCTAGGGTACCATAATGCAGTTTCCTTATTTTATATGGCCACTCATTTAATGGTTTAATAATTCTTTACATTAAAATTCATGCTTTAATATACTGTATGGCTTCTACCTCCTGATTGGACCCACAAAGATACAGTGACAGAGAAAAAAGAGTGTAAATGACAGGATGAGTGACAGAAAAAAAAGTAGGTGACAGGGAAAGAGTGGGTAACAGAGAATGGGTCATAGAGAAACAAAACTACAGAGTGGGTGACAGATCTTGGGTGACAGATAAAGGGGGGAAGGGGCAACAGAGGTACAGAGTGGGGAGGATGACAGAGAGAAAGAAGGTGGGATGACAGAAAGAGTGAGTGGGTGAGAGTGGATGACAGTGTGAGCAGGTAGATGACAGTGCGGAACAGGTGGGTGACAGAAAGAGAAACAGGTGGGCAAGAGAGAAGGGGGGGGTGGGTGACAGAGCGAGACAATGGAAGAGAGCGAGAGAATATGAGTGCCAGAGAGGGACAGTGGGTGACAGATATGGGTGACAAACAGGGAGAGATAATGGGTGACAGAAAGAGAGAGAGAAGTGGGGAGAGGGAGAGAAAGAATGCCAGAGAAAGAGAGGGGAGGGGAAATGGTGAGAGGAGCAACAGAGTGGAAGCATATGGCCCCCGCACAAATAGGCAGTGGGTATCAGAGTGAGAGGGTGGGCAAGAGAGGAGCTGCTGGGAGCTGCTCACCAAGGGAGAGCAGGACTGACACAGAGAATGTGTGACAGTGTTATCCTATGTGACAGAAGATGAAGGTGTGTGAAAAAAAAAGCAGGTGTGCAGAGAGTGTGAAGTTTTCTTTCATCTCTTAGGCAGGAGAGGCAGAGAAAGGGAAGGAGAGGGACAGACAGGGGAGGGAGGGAGAGAGACAGAAAAATTGTGTTAGAGTAGGATTTTGCCAAGGAGCAGAATTATGAGCAATAGAGAAGGTAAGAGAAGGCGATGCTTTTTGTGTAAGGGTGTTTCAGTAGGGGGGGATTTGGAAGAGCACGGGAGGCACTGAGAAAGAGGAGTAAAAGAGGAATTATGAGACTTGGGGGATCATGAGAGATAGGGTGTGATGAGAGACAAAGAAACTGTGAAAGAAAGGTTTGGACTGTGATAGCAAATGATGACTTGAGATAAGGGGGTGATTGTTGAGGGCAGTGGGAGAGAGACAATTTGAGAATGTTCTGAAGAAAGCACGTGGGAGCAAGTATGAGACAGATGCCAGCATGAGAGGGAGTCTTAAGGAACCAGTGCACAGGGCAAGCTGAAAGGCCCACTTGCTTGCTCACAGAAAGGAGGGAAGGGGACGGAAGGCCTTAAGCCTTATCACCACTTTCCAGATGAGAATACTGAGGGTCAGAAAAGTCAAGTGACTTGCTTGAGGTCTCCTAGCTAGCAGGTGGCAAAGCCACAATGTGAAACCCAAATGGCCCAACTCTAAAGCCAACACTCTATCACACTACACTGCCTCCATCTGTTTTCGCCAAATCTTCCTTAAGGAAGTCATGAAACTTAGTCCAAAAATGTGCTTTTTTACTCCTCTGTAAGGACACCTTTGGCTTTAACAGCCTTAAAACATTATTTTTTTGAAAAGGGAGACAAAACTGTTCACTGCCCCAATTTATTTCTTTGTACTGCATCAAAATTTAAAACTTCTAAAAAAAACCTCATAGACACAGACAACCGTATGGTGATTACCAGAAGGATAAGGGGTGGGGGGAGGTAGAAGAGGATAAAGCGGGGATAAATGATGATGGAAGGAGACTTGGATTGGGGTGGTGAACACAATACTATAGATGATGTAGCATAGAATTGTACACCTGAAACCTATATAATTTTATTAACTAATGTCACCCAAGAAATTCAGTAAAAAAGTAAAGTATATTGAAAAAAATAAATTAAAGCTAAACTCTAAAAAAATTTTAAAAAATACAATTTCGGTGCATCAAAGGACACAGTCAACAGAGTGAAAAGGCAACCTAAAAAAATGGGAGAAAATATCTGCAAATCATCTATCAGATAAGGGGTTACTATCCAGAATATGCAGAGAACTACAACTCAACAACAACAAACCACCGAATTTAAAAAGGACTCGAACAGCCCGGCCGGGCGTGGCTCAGCAGTTGAGCATCCACCTAGGATCCAGGCGATCAGGGTTTGATTCCCAGTCAGGGCACATGCCTGGGTTGCGGGCTCGATCAATGACTCTCTCATCATTGATGTTTCTCTCTCTCTCCCTCTCCTTTCCTCTCTCTGAAATCAATAAAGATATATTTTTAAAAAGTAAAAATAAAATAAAAAGGACTTGAACAGACACTTCTCCGAAGAAGACATACAGATGGCTAACAGGTACATGAAAAGATTCTCAACATCAGTAATCTTTAGAGAAATGCAAATCAAAACCCGAATGAAGTGCCACTTCAATATTAGGATGGCTAGTAACAACAACAAAACAGAAAATAACTGTTAGCTAGAATGGGGAAAACTGGAACCCTTTTGCACTGTTTGTGGGAATGTAAAATGGTGTAGCTACTCTAGAGGACAGTATGGCAATTGCCCAAGAAATTAAAAATAGAACTACCATACAATCCAGCATTCCCACTTCTGGATATATATCTAAAAGAATTGAAAGCAGGACTTTGAAGAGATATTTTCATATCTATGTTCACAGCAGCACTATCACAATAATCAAGAGATCAAAGTATCCATTAATCAAGTATCCATTAATGGATAAAGAAAATATATAATATATGCATACAATGGAATATTATTCCATCTTAAACAGGAAGGAAATCCTGTCACATGACACTACATGGATGAACCTTGAGGACATTATACTAAGGCAAATAACCCAGTCACAGAAAGACAAATACTGTATGGTTCCTCTTATGTGAAGTCCCTGGAGGAGTCAAGATGCACAGAAACAGAAAGTAGAATGATGGTTGCCAGGGGCTGAGGAAGTCGGGAATGAGCAGCTGCTGTTTAACAGGTACAGTTTTAGTTTTGCAAGATGAAGAGTTCTGGAGATGGATGGTGGTGATGTTTGAATAATGTTAATGTGCCTAGTACCACTAAAGAATGGTTAAAACAAATTTCGTTAACACAAATTTTATGTTGTGTGTATTTAACAATTTAAAAAATTTTAGCCAGGCTGGGCGTGGCTCAGCAGCTGAGCACCGACCTAGGATCCGGCAAATCGGGGTTTGATTCCCGGTGAGGACACATGCCCGGGATGCGGGCTCCATCACCCTGTCTGGACGTGCAATAGGCAGCCACTCAATGACTCTCTCATCATTGATGTTTCTATCTCTCCCTCTCCCTCTCCCTTCCTCTCCCTGAAATCAATAAAGATATACATACATTTTTAAAAAGTCTCTTCCTCTTATGAGGCCTTCCCTTGGCTCACAGATCCGGTAGTTGGCCATTCCCTCCTTGAACGCAGATACTATGCCTTGCACGTTATACCTCTTACAGCACTTATTATTATAGGTTTACCTATCCCTTTCCACTACTAGATTATAAGCAATTTAGGAGGGAAGGCCAACGTTTTACTCATCTCTTTATTCCCTAGGCCTGGGGCTTGGTAGGCTATAAAGACTCAAGAAAGGCCCAGCCGAGCGTGGCTCAGCGGTTGAGCGTCAACCTAGGATACAGGCCATCGGGGTTCGACTCCCGGTCAGGGCACATGCCCAGATTGTGGCCTCTATCAATGACTCTCTCATCATTGATGTTTCTATCTCTCTCTCTCCCCCTCTCCTTTCCTCTCTCTGAAATCAATAAAGATACATTAAAAAAAAAAAAAGACTCAAGAAAGGCTTGATCAACTGAAGTTCTGGCTCTTAATGAGTTCATAAAAGTGAGTCATTTGACCCCCAAAAGGGGCATTGGGGGGCTCCCCAGGCTTTAGAAATCTGAGCAGATTCCCGCGCCCTGAGAATGCGGGCGACTGTCTCAAAAGGCTCCACCTCAGCAGTTTTAGGCCCCTGGGAGGGTCCGAGACCCCCCCTGCCCTCACCCTCCACTCCCCGCAAGGGCCTGCGAGCTAGACCCGCTCAGCGGCGCAGACATACCTCAGATAAAGGGCAGCTTGCTCTGGGCTTAAAGCCTCGGCTTCCACAAACCCTTGGGACGCCTCCATGACCGTCACTTCGGGTCCTAGTTGTCTCCACCAGGAATTGAATTTCGCTCGCCCACGCCCGGCGCATGCGCTGTAAGCATGGAAAGGGGGCGGGGAAGGAGAGGGGCCAACCGTTAGCCTCCTGCTGGCCAATCCCCATCTTCACGTTGGGGCGCCACCATCTGAGTACTTCCTTCAAAGGTCGCGCGCCTGCGTGTACGCCCGCTGGAGCTCAGAGATGGTCTCGCCCCGGCGGCGCGGGGTGGGCGTGTCCTCTTGTTTTTTTCTAGCATTTTCAGTCCAATTCAAACCGTGCGTAGGCCAATCCGTGCGTGTGCGTGTGCGTGTGCGTGTGCGTGTGCGATCCTCGTGAGTGGAGTGGACTGCGAGGTATACCTGCGTCATCTTCGTAGCCACTAGAGACCTCCCCCACAGCCTGCGCCCCAAATATCATTTCTTCCCTGCTGGCCACTGCATGGCACTGGAGCATGCCTTGAATTCAAACACCCTGGGAGTCATAGTCCCTGTGACTGAAACTCACATTGAAGAAGGGTTTCAAGAACCAAGTCGCCCAGGCGGTGTAGCTCAGAGGTTGAGCATCGACCTATATGATCCAGGAGATCGCGGTTCATATTCCCGGCCAGGGCACATACCTGGTTGCGGGCTCCATGGCGTGCAGGAGGCAGCAGATTAATGACCCTCTCTAGTTGATGTCTCTCTCTCTCTCTCTCTCTCTCTCTCTCTCTCTCTCTCTCTCTCTCTCTCTCTCTC